TATCTTTTTAACTTAACACACATTATTTGAAATAATAGTGAAATAATATTCTATAAAATATATACAAACTCTCTTATCAATTAAGACATTAGTGTCAAACAAGATAATCTAATGAGTCTCTAGAAATATATAATTAATTCGAACAATACAATGTACCCCATTTGGGGGGTTATGACGGTATTTATCCAAAGAAAATATAGAGTAGTAGTTAGACTATTCCTAATCCTAACTCATTTTGGGCTTGATTGACGGGATAGTGTATGAAAAATTAGCTAGGAGATTTGGAAGCAGTTGTAGGGAGGTGTGGTTTACAGGTTGGGCATTAAAAGGTGATGACTGATGAGTTGGCAAAATGTCCATTTCCATTTCATCGACCAAATTTAGTGAAATCGACCACGTCACTCTAATAATTTATGCTGTTTGCTCAACAACAGAAACTTCTGCAAACCCTTGGACAGATCGATACCCCATATTATGCATGTGAGTTTTCCACCAAAATCCCACCACTCTCATTTATATGCCTGCAATACAACTTAGGGAATGGTAACGGAGCGGCAATGGGACCACGCGGGGTAGATAAAACTACTTGTAAAATTTTATACAGTAAAAGATTCGAAAATATTATAATTATAATATCATATGGTGATCATGTAAATTTACAGTATAATATTAGTATATCATTATAAAATTAACTCTTTTTATTTAAGAATCAATCAATAATATTGCATGCATTCATTTATTTAATCATACATTATATTCATTTAATATTGTCATACTATAAGATTATAATCTTAGATAGTATATATTGTAACTATAATATTGCTAAAAAAATATATATCCTAATTCCGCACTATGGTGAGGAGTATTCCCCAACAAGGTTCAAAGGGAATGAGATGAGACATTATATATATTGGCAATCCTACTGCAACCAAATTCTATATGACGCAATCCCAATACAAAAATACCATTTGTATTTTCTATCAAACAGTTTCAATGGAATAATTCTCCATTTATGGTATCAATAATGGGATTGAAGTAAAAATGATCAAAGTGAAGTGGAATATAAGATAAGTATAGATTATTAGTCGGATTAGAGAGAAAGGTATTGTACAGTTTTAAGAAGGAATTCATCCAAAGCTTTGGTATAATTACTTCCCCCCGACAGCTTAATACATTTCTTATAGCTTTGGCATCTTATAATCAAAACTTTGAATTAAAATATTATGTCATTATATAGTATGTTCATTTGCAGCTTCTAGTCCTAGTAAGTTCTCTAGTTAGCGTGAATGGTATGGTTATTAATTTGAATAAAGAAAATAAGGAGTGTAACACGCACAAACTAACTCAAAATATTGCCTTGTTCATAAGTTAAGAAATTGGTAGATTGAGTTGAGCATTATCACAAAACAATGCCATAATTAAAGTAGTAAAAACAAAAGTAGTAATTAGTTTGTGAAGTGCTTTACTACCAAGTTTCTTCATGCGTGCTTTTTTTTGGGAACTTGCCCAATCTTTACTAGACCATTCTATTGGAGCAAGGGACCATTACCCAAAATCATGTCTCTTCTTTAGATGAATCCATGTTTCATGCTTCCATCAATTAATGAATGAAACATATCTTGGGTTTGGTTCTACACATTCAATCACTTTACGCAATCCCTAGTCAACATTAAAAAAGAGGTTCCAAGTTTCTCGAGCAAGCAAATTCCGAATCATATCTATATATATCTCTCTCTCCATGCACCACCAGTTGGTATTCATTTGCTTTTTCCTTTCCCTTTTAAGAGGCATCCAAGATCCCCTTCCCCACCCTGATTTTTTGGCTACTTTCAGCCTAATGAGTGAAACCCTATAACTAACAATAAACTAACCTAACCACCGTTGGAAAATAAATACTCTAAAGGGCCCAATTGAATCATTCCTGATCAACAAACATGAAGATTAACAAAGCCTTTTAACATTAACCCTCATGCAATTTTGATATTAATTTAAAATTAAGGTTTAATTAATGATAATTAATCCAATTTCCAGCATTCAGCAACCCATGTGGTGAGATGATTCCATCTTTGTATTCATGGGATCATGTAGCTAGACTGAAGGAGTTAATTTGTTTAAAACTGGTGCTGACTCTGAGGGTCAAGGCACATGTTTTGCGTTTTCATTTTCCCATTTAAGGAGGTTGCTTCATCAGCAAATTGAGAGTTATTTGACAGCTTGGAGCAATAAATAGGCTATTATTGAAATGTGAATAATCTATGCCCCCCTCCATCTATTATTGCAGGTTCTGTATTTTGTTAAACACAAATGAGTTTGGAAAATAAGTCAGTTCTACACATAGATGTTGTATTGGCCCAGTGTTGTGTTGCTTGCCAATTAAGATAGAGGAGGAAATAGGCAGATGCATCAAAGGCTCCCACCATTATGAGATGAGCTCTTCTTTGCTTCAAGCTACATCGATCCTTGTCGTTGTTGTCTTCAAT